GCACTATTTGCAAGCTCGTACGACCTCGGCAAAAGAGTTTCGGCCCTGAAGATCAATTAGAAATTTGGATCCGAAAATATGGAAGACATGCCGGCGAAGTAGTCGGACGATCTCAGTCAGACAACAACACCAATCTTGTGATTTTGGATAGGCTGCATCCCAGCCCAGGACGCCCGTCAGTATCGCACTAGCCGTCGAATCGATTCCTTCGATGTCGAAGAGTTCTTCAATTAGTACGTCTTCGGCCTCCGCAGAGTCGTCTTCGGCCTCCACAGAGTCCAACCCAAGATCCTTCAAAACGGAGGCGACTCGGGCCAAAATTTTAGTGAAGGTCGTGATATAAATAGTTCCGCGTTGCTGCCAGAAAGTAGGCATTTCCAGGATTCCGGTTAAATATCGTAGGGCAAGAGCATCGGCACTGGGCATAGATTATGTTGAACAACGGCCCATCCGCCGGTTAATAACACACCTGCGTTCCGACGTGATCAAGAGGTGCTCTAGGACACTGAGAACCCCAGTTTCCGTGTCAACGCAGCCCAAGCGCTTGGGCGGCACGTCTGCCAATCTTGAAGAGATAACCGTGTCAGAAAGACAAGCTGCCGCTAGATTACGGTAAAAATCCCAGTCCCGAGGAGGCGTGTCATCCTCCGCCCTTGTCCACAGCGCGGAGATCAGGAATTCTGTGTTTCTAGCCTGCCCGAGGTGTTTGGATCTGAGGAAGAGGGCCCGTGTGCCGTTGTACCGTGTCACGATCGTCACAATATTTTTGAACGCCAGGACCTGCGTTCGCACAGTTTCACACCTGTGAATATGCATTTCAGAATATTTGGCGCTACCCACAAAGATAAAATAACACTCACGGGAGTGCATATTTCATGAGCTGAGAACATGTCTTTTCAAGCCAGGGACATCCATTTACCCTCAAATCCTCCAGCTTCTCCTCTCGTTGCTGCCCTGTCCCGAAAAAGGCCTCGATTCTGTTCGCGGTCGCTGACGGACCACGGCCCAACCGATGTGCCGCACGATTCGCTTGCAGCTCGCAGGTGCGACTGAGGTAAGAATAAACTTGAGCCAGTGTTCTCCCTGTTGCAGGATCACTCAGCGAGCCATGGATAAGCCTCATCTGTCGCTCGTCAACCCTGCGATCGATCCCATTGGCAACCTGAAGGACAAGCGCAGTCGAGGTCATGAGCAAGCAGGACGAGTGGTTGGTGGGAAGGAGGTCGTAGATGCGATGCTAGAAGTATGAGGACAGCATACTTAGTGCCGTACAGCCTTTACAGCAAAGTGTCTATTTGTGAGAACGATCACTCTGCATGATCCTAAGCTGTGGAGAAGGCATCGGCATATAGGGGGTGATATCGGTCTCGGGATAGAGAGCGATGCCAGAGAAAGAATAGGTGTTTTTGAATTGATGTTATTTATACGCAGTATTACGGCACCCCCGCTGCCCCGCTTGCTCGCCCTCGAATCCCCGTCGTGGGCGCCTCACTGCGTCGCACACCTCCATTTCCGACCCATATCCGTCGCTTCCGACCCACATCCGTCGCCACCGCCCTTCCCCGCCACCGCCCCTGCCCACGCCGCGCACACGTCCCTTGCTCACTCGTCCTCGCCCACTCGCACCACCGCCCCCCTCGCTGCTCTGCCGCCTGCGACCCCAGGATCATGAGCACGTCCAGCCCGTCCGCGGGCTCCGCGTCGAGGTCCCGCGCGTCGGGGGCGTCCGACCACGGCGCGAAGGGCGCGTCCCATGCGTGCGAATGCGGCTCACCCCATGCGTGCGCGGAGGGCGCGTCCCATGAATGTGCATGGTACGGCGGGTCGACCCACGCCGCGCACGCGGACGCTATACGGTATGTGGGCGTGCGAGGAACGGTACACCGCCCGCGGGGAGGACGCGCGCGCACGCTGCGGGGGCGCCTCCACGGCGCGACGATCGGCACGGCCGGCGGCGGCGCGTGCGCCGTGGCCGTCGCGCGGTCGACCTCGTCCGCGCAAACAGGCGGCGCGCGAACAGCGCCGAGGCGCTGGGCGATGAGGGGCCCGGCGTCGGTGCTACAGAAAAAAAAAGCCAGTCAGCATGCATGCTAGAATAGACGGATTGCGATAGGGGAAATCTAAAATAAATAAATAAAAGTGGGAAGAAAAAGGTGGACAGAAAGAAAACAAAGGACAGCCGCACAGTCCGTCTCGCCAGATGCGCGCAAGGTCGTGCCGATCGTGTAGACAGCGCGGGTACGGCAAGGCGGCGTCAGATACGACCAGCAGAGCGTACCGACATGGATACACCCCGGAGCAACACGGGGAGAGTAACAGTGTCCTGCAGGCACCCCGCGCGCACATGCCGGCGACTTGGTAGCCACCTCACCCTACCCTCACTGCCGGTCCCGCGCGCGTGCGAATCCGCAAGAGGGCTCACTAATAAGGGGAGCGGTCTCGCGGGCGGCGGGCTGCGCGTGCGGACGACCGACCACATTCACAGACCGGGGAAGGGGAATAGAGGGGCGGGAAGGAGGGAATCGACGCCGCCAAAATGGAGCGGAGAAAAGAGCAGGGCGAAAGCGTCGAAGCTACCGTAGAAGTCACTGTAGGCAGCCATATTCGCAATGAGCAGACGCACAGCCCGAGCGGGGGGCTCGCGGCTTGTCCGGGGAGACGGGCGGTGCCCACGCCCGGGGCGCGGTGTGATATCCCGCGACCCCGAGCACGTCGTCGTGGGCGCACAGCACAAAGCTGCCCTCAGCACAAATAAATCGCAGCGGCGTGCACGTAGCAGAGACCGGAGAAAAAGAAGGGGTGGGGAGGGGGGGGAGCGAAGAAAGAAAAATGAGGGGCGAAGGAAGAAGACAGAAGAAAAAAAGGCAATGCCAAGAGCCCAAGCACCCAGGACGGAAGGAACTGACGGGTCGCGGTACCGGTACCACCGCACCACCCAGTCGGGTCTATGGCGCTGCGCGTATGGAGCTGTAGGTAGCGCTTTGTGTATGGCGCGGATGGCGGGTGGTAGCCCCGCCACGCCCTCGCGATCCGACGCGCGGACACGATGTGCGCTACGGATCCCGCGCACCACATCCGGCGCGCAAGTCGACCTGTGGTCCGCTGAGACCTGGCGTAGCCAAATCGCCGCAGGCACACGCATTGCCAGATCCACGAGGGGCGCGGCGGGGGATCGGGGGGCTGCCCGAGGCGCGCGGACTGGGGCGGGGTAAGGCGAATCCGAGCTCGTGTGAGGACACGCGCGCCCCTCGCGTAGGTAGACGTCGATCCCCAGGGGGGCACGGGCGCAACCGTGACGGAATCCCGTCGCAAGATCCGTGAGGGGTGCGGAGGCAAATCGGGAACTGGGGAAGAGCCGAAAAAAGGACGTAGGAAATCGAGGAAAAAAGCGCAAGAAAGAGAGTAGGAGAACTGAACGCACCTGGATGCTTCACACGCGCCCAGCCGCCCACACCATCCATGACGCCCATGGCATTCTCGCGGATGAAGTAGGTGTCCGTCATCTGGGCCTGGGTGTGCAGTGCAGGCAGCGCTTGGGGATGCCGTACGCGCCGACGTCGAGCGTGTACCGTGGCACCCGCCTACGGCTCGCGCGGGTGGCACCGGGGGTGGGGCCGAGGCCGGGGACGTACTGCTTGAAGAGGGCGACAGTCGATGCGTTGTCACGATGGGGCCATTGCGGTTGGGCGGGGGCGGGGTGTCGAAGGAGATGGGAGCGCGTTGGAGGTGTAGAGGGCGCGCGAGGCCGAGTTTGAGCGGACACAGCCTACGCGGGGCAGGGCGTGCAGCGCGGGTGCTTCATGCTGCCCGGTCAAAGCGACGGATACTAGTAAGTTGCCAAGAAATGTAAAGCAGAGAGGCGTCCCGGTTTGGTCCCGGTTCGTCCCGGTAGAAACACAACGTGACTCATCCGTCACGATGATTCCCCGCTTTTTGAAACTCTCCCTCTCGCGTCCACCGCTAAACACCGTCTCCTTCGAAGCTAGTGCGGCGTGTTTCTACCCTCCGGTCCGAGTCTGCTCTTGTCTTCTCTGTAGCTGCCGGCACACGCCTCCCCGCTCAGGCTGTCTCTCGACGCTTCATTTACATGCCGTCGTTCGACTCGTTCGAGGCCGTCGTTCGTAGCCAACGTTGAGCCAATCGCAGTTGACTCCCAGTCAAGAACTCGAAAACCTCTATCAAAATCGAAGCCCTCTTCAGCTGGTTCGAGTACAACTCTCGGTCTCATGAGACTGCTGTTGCCGAAAGTTCCCCAGCGCGTTGCCCACTCGACTTCTTCTGAATAGTATCTGGCTGAGGCGCGAGTGTATATATCAGTGAAATCAGAACCACTGGCTGTCCGACTCCATCCTCCTTTACTTATGCCCAGTCACACGGCTTCCGCCCTTCGAGGCATCCAAAACCCTTCCTTCCTTCCGCTCAATCCCACGCCCGCCGCGCGCTGCCTGCCGCCTCCTTATGCGCATCTACACTTGCTTGTGCGTCGGTGCGACACCCATGCGTTTCGCTCAAGAGTTTCCATAATTAATTCCTTTCGCCCCAACTTCTGCTGACAGTCAATCAATTATAGGTCCTCTAACACACGGAACAAACCATCGCATTATCTTGGCTATGGGTACTCTTTCGGGGAGCCTGCACCTTCTCGCTCTCGTTTTGCTTGCATCCTATGCGCTCGCGTCCCATCCGAATCCGAACGCCCCCCCCCTCCCCCCCTACGTTGGTCCGTCCATACATTGCCGCTGTATTTCACTGTCAATGGTAGACTTTATTCATTATACTCACCGGAAGACTCTCCTTGTACAGTATATTACACCCCTAAAAATCCAGTGCACCGCTTGTAATCCAGCAAGTCAAAAGGGCAAGTAACGATGGGTAAACCCGAATCGCAACGATGGGTAAACCCGAATTGCAAACATAAGGTAAATCAAGACCATTTCCTTGTTCCCGCAAGGATACGGAAACCTTATCTCTATATAGTGGGATGCGGCAACTCGGGTATCGGCCTGGTGGTGTAACGGTAACATCCCTGCTTGCATTACTATCTCATCACAGTTGCAGCAGGAGTTCCTTGTTCGACTCAAGGTCAGGTCTACTACTTTTTTTTCTTGCTTAACCGCCGACTCAAAAATGATTTATTCACCCTCAACTTCATCTGTACTAGTAGAATGAGCCAAAGTATATGGCTTCGTGGTGTAGTGGTAACATCCCTGCTTTTACTATTAGTTCGATAATATGTTTCAGCAGGAGCCCCTCGTTCGACTCAAGGTCAGGCCATTACAATCTGGTTTCGTCCTTTTTTCTTTTCAAAAAAGGCGATGTCTGCTTCTTTCAACTGTAAGAAGATTCCTTTATGGCGTTGTATTTGGAGATACTGCAGTGTAAGTAGCGGCTGCAAGCCTGCGAGGACACCGTAATTTTGCGCGTAATCAGTTATTCAACCAAAGTCACGTGTCTACGTGTTCAAATAAACTCGAGTAACGGGTTGGAGAGATTGGTGCCTTCGTGCTCAGTGGTGCGTTACTCCCAACGAGCCGGTTACGCGGCTTTATACTCACTGCCATCGGATTAGCCCTCTGCAACATTCGGAAAATTGCAGTTCGCCAAGACATGCAACCTGTAATGGCTCGACACGGGTTCCCTGCAGAGAATCAAGATGGGTAATTGGGCGGTGCGGGTTGAGCGCAGCAAATCCAAGCGCGAGCAGCGATTCGCACGATCCCATGCTCTGCAAATAATTCGGGCATACTATAACGCCAAATTGCTCAAACTTAGATACACCTTCGGATGTAGCAGAGTCCCCCACCCTTCCGGTCCCTTTCCTCTGCCCAACTCCGAGGCCCTCCGCCGCCGGCAGCTATTTAGTGCGATACCAACCGCTACAGTTCCAACTTGTTCTGTGCCCAGGACTGGACAAGCGACGGAGTGATTGCAGTTGGCGCAGGACGAGGGCGAGATGATGGAGATGGATGGGGCGGTGCACGATCATACGAGCTTCACAGTCTTGAGGTTGCCCTTGATGATGATGTCCCGCACTGTATAAGAGATGAGCTTGACGAATCGAGAGCCGACATCACCACCGACCATTTGATATGATAGTTGCAGTGCGTCGTTGGTCGGTGACAGCCGTTAAATAAACTCATGAAGTATCAGTTCCTGCCAAACCCTCACGACAGCTTGCGCCTACTGTAGAGCTCTCGTTCCTCATTAGGCGTAACGGCATCGTGTAATGCGCCAAATTCATTGCGGAAATCTAGAAGAAGCAGATCAGAGAGGGAGGGAAACCCCAATCACGACGCCGAAATACATTTAGAAACCGAGTCGTAATCATTTGGGCGGTCACCGTATGAAGTGATGTGGTGGCTCAGTCGCACACCGGCCTCGAGTTTGGCCTGGACAGAAATGAGTAAAGCCAGATGGCAATCGTGGGCAGACGGTTACCTGAAGCAGATCGCACTTGTTCAAAAATAGCACGATGTTCACCTTGGCCAAGAGTTTGCTGGAGACTACCGCTTGCCAGAGCAGCATCGAGTCCTCGAGCCGGTTCACACGTGGATCCTGGACTCATGTTATTATTCCATTGGCTTTTAAAAATGTGCGGGACCCACCTCGGCCAAAACTTGGTCAAAGGCAGATATAGGCGCCAGGAAAATAATTGCATTGACTGATAGGACTTAGAGCTCGCTTCTCCGTTCTGTAACTGGAAACACTCACCGTCGTCAAAATATGGTAGCCACGCGGCTCGCAGACTTTTTGAGCCACCGACATCATATATCCTCCATTGTACGCCGCGGTTGCTGCCGGAAGAAATAGAAAAAGTGTGCTCAACAACGCCCATGGTTTTCATTCGCGCCTTGAGCACATCGGCTGCAACAAACTAGCTGTCAGACCGTAGGTAAGCAGATGCCTGAGAAACCGCTGACCGTCAGTTGGGATGTACTTTTTAGCAGTGATACGAGGAATTTCGTCCAGATAGCTGGGAAAACGAGAATTTACTCGGAAGAAGAAGCAGAGTAAAAAGAAATCGCTTACAACCCGCTGCTTTCCTCCAGCCGTAGTCGCTTTTCTCGAAGCCGTTGCCTGACATTGGGGTCTCTCCACATGTCCTGCATATACGGTGCACAGGCATGGAGTGTGTGCACAGGGTCATCTGGATCCTCCCACCACCCTTCAATCTCGCCGGAGTGGGCGCTCTTGGGACTCTTGGACCTGTTGCCCAAGGAAAAGGCCTTCTTCCAGTTTGTCGAAGTGTGCACCGTTATTTCACTTCCCTTTGACATGCTGCCAGTGCTGCTCGTCGGGGAAGATGTAGAATAAATTAAGCGATCCTCGAGCTGCATTAAAGGCTGCAATCGGCGGCGATAGCCCTCGTAGTTGGGGACCTTTGTACCGGATATCGCAGACGGAGGCCGGCCGTTGGACGAGATGATGACTGATGCAGTCTCGCGCGAATCGCCGTCATCGTGTTCGTCAACATTCTCGGTCTCTGGTTGCAACGCATCAAGAATCCTAGCGTAAACTTAGTCACTGTTGTTGGGAGCGAAGATGCCCGAACCATTTGACGGATCGGATGAGATTGAGATAAATTACTGCACGCCATGCAATGCGCTCTGCGTGAAAGGCGGCCGGGGTATGCAACAGTTGGAATTCTGTGCAAGGGTCGTCAGCCGGAACGCGTCTGAAGAGAAAACGGCCGATTTGGGCGCTGCTCCCTGCCTAATTAGGCACCAATATCGCCAACTCGGCAATAGGACATTCCATTGAATGTTCCACGAACGGAAGCAATACGTGGCCGCGCGCCGCCAACGATACTGAGGCGGGAATACTCACGCTTGAGGCATGTGCTCTTGCCCGACTCTGACCTGGGGGAGGACATGAGTGGCGTCCCTGCGCGGTGGAGAGCGGACGCGGACTCACTGGCCGAGGAGGAGGACCTGGACCTCTGCGTGGGACCCCCCGCGGCGGTTACGGTCGTGTTCGATCATCTCGTCGATTCCATCGCTGACCTTTTTTGCATCGATCGCGGCCTTGAGGCGGGATTCGCGCTCGTCCAGAGTCTCGTTTGGCGGGGGGAGGAGGGCCACGGCGAACCAATCCCCGCTTCTTTCACCATCCTGGGGTGGGGAAATGTCAGCGGCGTCTTTCCTACATATAATCAGCATGCAAAATATGTGACTCATATTATAATTGGACATACACCATCATCGAAATAGTTATTTCCTCGCTGTCTGCTTTTGGGATAATGTTCGGTAGATTCGCACTATTGGCAAGCGCCCACGACTTCGGTAAAAGAGTTTCGGCCCTGGATATCAGCTAAGAAACTGCGTCCCGAAACCTCGAACGAAAACGTACTGTCGCAGTAGTTGCACAATCTCAGCGAGACCGCAATACCAATATTGTGACTTTGGGTCGGCTTCATTCCAGCTCAAGACGCCCATTAGTATCGCGCTGGCCATCGAATCGATGCCCTCGGTGTCGAAGAGTTTTTCAATTAGAATATATTCGCCCTCCGCAGAATCCAACCCGAGATCTTTTAGAACGAAGGCGACTCGGGCCAAAATTCTAGTAAAGGTCGTAATGTAAATCGTTCCACGTTGTTGCCAGAAAGTAGGCATTTCCAGGATTCCGGTTAAATATCGTAGGGCAAGAGTATCGGCACTGCGTAGATTATGTTGAACAACGGCCCATCCGCCGGTTAATAACACACCTGCGTTCTGACGTGATCAAGAGGTGCTCAAGAACACTGAGAACCCCAGTCTCCGCGTTAACGCAGCCTAAAAACCTGGGCGCGATGTTTGCCAATTTTGAAGAGATAACGGTGTCGGAAAGACAAGCTGCTGCCAAATTACTGTAAAAAACCCAGTCTCGAGGAGGTGTATCATCCTCCGTCCTTATCCACAGCGCGGAGATCAAAAATTCTGTGTTTCTAGCCTGCCCGAGGTGTTTGGATCTGAGGAAGAAGGCCCGTGTGCCGTTGTACCGTGTCGCGATCGTCACGATATTTTTGAACGCCAGGACCTGCGTTTGCGCAGCTTCACACCTGTAAATATACAATTCAGAATATTTGGCGCCACCCACAGAGATAAAACGACACTCACGGGAGTGCATATTTCATGAGCTGAGAACATGTCTTTTCAAGCCAGGGACACCCATTTACCCTCAAATCCTCCAGCTTCTCCTCTCGTTGCTGCCCTGTCCCGAAAAAGGCCTCGATTCTGTTGGCGGTCGCTGACGGACCACGGCCCAACAGATGTGCCGCACGATTCGCTTGCAGCTCGCAGGTGCGACTGAGGTAAGAATAAACTTGAGCCAGTGTTCTCCCTGTTGCAGGATTACTCAGCGAGCCACGGATAAGCCTCATCTGTCGCTCGTCGACCCTGCGATCGATCCCATTGGCAACTTGAACGACAAGCGCAGTCGAGGTACTCATAGCAAGCAGGACGAGGGGTTGGTGGGAAGGAGGTCCTAGATGCAATGCTTGAAGTAGGAGGACGGCGTGTGCACAGAGTACCTATACTTAGTGCCGCACAGCCTTTACCAGCAAAGTGTCTGTTCTTGAGAACGATCACTCTGCATCATCCTGAAGCGGATGAAAGTTCCCAGTGAAAACACGGTCTTGGGAGGCATCGGCATATCGGGCGGGATCTTCCAGTCTCGGCATACCAATTTAAGACCGCGCGATAGAGCGCGAGTGCCAGACCTAGCAAAAGTGGGACTTTCGGCCATTCTGCGGGCTGTATTGTATTTGAATTGATGGTATTTATATGCATTAGTCCCTACGGCACACCTCCGCATCGGGTAGAGAGAAGCCACAGGCCACCGCGGCAGCCTCCCGGATCCACGGAGGGGTGCGGAGGCAAATCGGAACTGGGAAGAGCCGAAGAAGGGACGCAGGAAAGCGAAGAAAAAACAGCGCAAGAATTTGAAGAAAGGAGAAGGAAGAGTGAACGCACCTGGATGCTTCACACGCGCCCAGCCGCCCACCTCGTCCGCGACGCCCACCGCATTCTCGCGGATGAAATAGGCGTCCTCGCCGACCTGGACGGCGAGCAGGACGTCCGTCATCTGGGCCTGGGTGTGGACCGCGTGGCCGT